AAAAGGAAAATACGCCATGAAGCTTTTTTCTTTGTTGTCATGCGCATTATTTGTATTTTAGAGATTTTCTGTTCCTTGACAGTGTAATGTAAACTGAATGTTTGTTGTGGAAATTATTGGTTTTAGAAGAGTTAATTTTGTCAAGCATCTTTCTCATTTCTACATCTGAGCGTGAAAAATAGAAAACAAGTGCCCCTGCACTGCAGTGTTTTCCAAGTCCATGATCTGGAACTACATTAATAAAGATACCAAAATATGTGTGAATGTGTTGCTTCTAGGCAGAGGATGAAGCCTAATATTACGGAATGTCCTCTATTTTTCTGTTTCCTTGCAAGACTGCTTTGCATGAGTTTTGCAAAGCCTCGGCAGGGCAGTGGCTAATGAGCCGGATATGAAGATGTAGCAAGGACTGCAGCTGCAGTTTCTCAGAATAATACACACCAGAAGTCAACAAACTGCCTTACAAATTATGTTGCACCTTTTCTCACAGACTTGTCTCATTTTAAAAGTGATATTTTTTCCAATCTGTTGTTAAAATAATTGCGAGATTTAGGATAAGCTTGAATAAAAAGGATTAGATTTTCAACACCAGTGATAATAGACTGCAGTCTACAGTAATAATACGTAGACTGCAGTGTAAGACTTGAGACCAGTTATGGTCTTGAGACTGGTCTTGAAGGTCTCGATCTAGTAGTCTTGGACTAGAAGTTTTTTCAAATTTCAAATCACCCTATTCAGATGAACAATTCTTAAGATCTGATTATGTTTTTTTTTAGTACTGTACAATCTTTGTTCTTCTCTTGTAAACCTATACATTGATTTCTGGTTATAAAACTGAATGTGATAGAACAAAGAATTATCCTTTTATATTTTAATTAAACATTTTTTGCATTTAGTTAGATCACATCATCAAACATTGAGATAGACCAATAAAAACAAACGCATAATTTTCAAGTAGGGAAATAAAGAGTTCTCTAAAATTCCGATCCCCAAAGCAAGAATGTGCCAAACATTCTGCTTTACTATGTTTTACACCTGGCAAAGACAAAAACCATTTAGCATGACAAAAATGTAACCAGAGAACTTTCTTCTAAATGTTTACTGTATTGGTTTTTGGCAGACTGCAAAGATGCTTGTTTTTGGTTATGGTGTTCTTAGTACTGCTTATGAAGACAGATTTTTAAAAGCAAAAATAATAGTTATTTTTGTTTACTTTGTTTTTGTTTTGATTTATTCTGTTTATGTCCATAATTTCCTACATCTGAGATGCAAGTTTTTGCTGCTCCAAGATATGTTAATAAGATATTTTAAAATTTTAGGGTTCCCTTGGGTCTCAGTTTCTTTCTTGGGTTTTCTAAGTTTCTACTTTCTGCCATATTAGTTATAGTATATAAAATTCTTAATAAATTAAAGTTTTGTTTTTTTTCATCATGAATTTCTTAATCTTTGCTGGATATATATACACCTTTCTTTTTGTCTGATCTTATGAATAGTTATTTTTTCCCCCTCACTTAAATCCACTCATCCATTTCTCATCTTGCCTGATTACTCTTACCTGCTCTTCAGTATATAAGGTAAATTTTCTCCTTTCTTCTGTTTATCTGCTTCATGTCCTTTGCTCCTCTTGATCATTCTCTATTCAGCATACACTCTCTGTCCTGGTTTGGATTTTTTTTTGCTAAGCTTTCTGTTTTATTCTGCTCACCATGTTGCCTCCTGCTCTTGTATGTTTTAGTTCCTGCAAACAACCAGAAATCTATGACACCACCTGCCCTCCTGAGTTAAAAATGGCCTCTTGGCTCCTATTTTGATAAAATATATCATTGCCTGGCCTGCCATTTGAATGGAAGCCCATATCTTGGTAGATTATGAAGTTGCCTCTGATTCTTAAATTGTCATGATAATAATTATTGTACAGCTTAATCCTACTAAATTTGCAACTTTGTAAGGTTTGTCCTTGTAGTGTGTGCTATGTGCAATGTCTAGTCACACATACATTTTTAACAAATCTTTTTGCTGCCCAGCTTAGCTAAGGATTGATTATAGAATTCTGCAGTGCAGTACATCATGAATACAAAGGTGATACAGGATTGTTATTTAGTGAAGGAATATAGTATTCAGACAAGTATTACAACAAGTATGAGGGGAGTATAATAAAAATAATAATAAGAAGAATAAAAAGAAATCTACTTCACATTAATAAAATCAATGGATAAAACCTTTGGGCTAAAGCACTAACTATATGGTGGGTAAGTTTACCAAAAAAACAAATTGCTTTTAAATGTAATTTAGTGAAAATGTATCCAGCATTTATTTTAATAAATTAATAAAACACTATGGGCCGGATTTATCAAAGGTTTGCGTGTATTAAAACGTGAGCTATTTCACTGCGCACGCTAAAAAATGTACAAACTGATCTATCAACAGCGTGCTAAAAGCATTTGATCTTTAAAACGTGCTAAATAGCGCCTGTGATCCATTTAGTACTTTTTCTGCAATGAATATGCAATATGGGGCGTTTACACGCTAAAGTGCGTCTTGTGGGAGGAGAACATGTAAATATATTAATTTAGCACTCGCAAAGTGATTTATCAAACTTGAACGCAATTTTGCTAACGGTATCTGACTCTATATTTAACACGTTTCAAAAGAAGGTGCAAATGGTCTGTATGCGTAATTGCGCACACATGGCAGCGGTTATTGTCGCAAGAAGGAGACATGGAAATGAAGCAAGGAGACGCAGAGAACGCATTTTTTCACTCCGTGTGAATATTTTTGGAATGAACGAGGAAACGATCATCAAAACATATCGTTTATCCAGCATTGCCATTTTGGAGCTGTTGGGGGAACTCCGAATGGATTTGGAGCCAGCCACAAGGAGGACCCACGCAATAACAGATATCACAAAACTCCTTGCAACATTGCACTTTTTTGCATCTGGGTCATTCCAGCGTACGGTTGCAGCGAGAGCTGGGATCTCCCAATCTCGTTTTTTCAGAAGTGCTGTCCGACGGGGTCGGGGTTCTCCCCCTGCGCCTGTGGAGCAACGTGCCAAATGCTGCGGGGATCTCATCCACAGTCACAGGCCAATACAAAACACCTGTTTTTTTTTTGTTTGTTTTTTTTTACTGCAGCACATACCACCTTAGGGAATAAAGGTTGCCAATTTATAAATAAATAAATATATATATATATATATATATATATATATATATATATATATATATATATATATATATATATATATATATATATATATATATATATATATATATACTTATTTATTTATTTTTGTTGGGGGTCACTGTAAGATTTAAATTTCTTAATGCACTAGTTTGTACAGACTACAAACTACTTTGCCGCAAACCACAAAACGCGCAAAACCATCATTTAAATAGGGCGTCTCCAACAGTTTTGCACCTTCCACCAGTTACGCAATCGCTCTTGTTAAATCACCCGCAAACCATGGTTCAGCCCCTCGCGCAAAATTCCACTTTGCGAGCGCAAATTACTGCACGCAAAATTGGATCTTGATAAATCCGGCCCTATGGGTTATTCATATTTACTATAAATTTTTTGCCATGCATCATGGTAAACATTAGGGACGCACAATATAATCGGCCCCCTATCGGTATCGGCCTGTATCGGCCTTAAAACTGAATATCGGACATCGGCCACCCCACCGATATTTAACCCGATATTCGATCAGCTTCTGAGTTTCTAAAGTCAGTTAACATTTTAGCTATTTTTACCACATTGGGTCACATAATTAACATTTAACACAAGACATTTAATGTTTTATTTAGGGGAAGTTGATTCCATGTAATCTAAGGGAAAAAATAGCAAGCATATCAACTACTTTTTTCCCAGTAGTAATTTCTAATATACAAAATTAAACAACCCCTGATAATTCCAAGATAACCATCATGTATAAGCATTTAGTCAAAATTGGTGAGATATTTTCTGGACATGTTGTCTATGCCCCAAAGCCAGTGCAAACTCTACTTGAGAAGAGGAAATGGAAATCTTGTATTCCCACCCAAGAAATATGCATTCATAAAGGCTCTAGGGAATTGTATTACTTTTTTATAGAATACATGCATGATAGTGATATTTTGCAGTCTTAAGTGCAGATAAGACTAAGAAGTGTGTTAAGCAAAATAAAGCAAAATAACAATTATAAAATAAATCAAACTTATTATAGAAAAAAATGACAGTTTTCCTATTAATCTAAATTCTTTCATCAAGTGATAATAATTTAAAGAAGAAGAAGATATCAGAGAAATAGACCATGAAAGGATGTTCATTTTATTTTTTCTTCCTGCTACCGATAAGCTGCCTGTTTGATTCCCATAGACGATTTGAGGATTGGTAAGCATTGGTGTGCTTATAGTCCTTATGTCTTACAGTCCTCAAATAAACAACAATTAAAAAAATAAAATAACAAAACAGAAGTTCTAAATCAAAGCAAGAATGTCATCCCAAAGCTTTCCAATCTACTACCACTTTGCAGCTCTAAGAAGTCTGTGATTTATACAACCACAATGCATGAGCAGCATAAGAAAAGCCACTTCCCTTTCCAGACTGACAGATATCAAAGTGTTAGCTTCTGATTTGTTATTATCTCTTTACATCAAGGTATTATGTGTTGCACTTTTAAATATTTGGACCTGCTTCATGTTGTCAAAAATGTTCTATTCCACTGATCTCCTGATTCTACATGTCTGGGAGCATTACAGCATTGAAACTGTCACCAGGTTCTCTTCATGATGCAACTGCTGTTTCATATTTGACCAGGTCACTTAATTTTATTTCCTTTATAAATTCCAATAGCACAGAAAAAAGCATCTTTTCTACTTTTTGTATTGTTTGCTTTTATTTCCTTTATGTGTGAATATATCTATCCAATCAAAAGCCACAAAACACATACACAGGCTGACAATCATACTGTAGTAGTGATGTGTGCTAACTGAAGGTGGGCGGGATGAAATTAGACCCACCTGTCTTGGGCTCCACAGAGAAGTATGGCTGTCCATGAATGATGCTGTAGATCACCCGGGCACTGTTCCCATATGTCGGGTCATCTGCATCTGTGGCTGCCACTTGCACCACCATGGTTCCTGTGGGTAGACGGCCACTCATTAGCTTCCAAGACAACATTCTGGGGCCAAGTCATGCAGAGCTAAATGTGGAAATAGTCATATCAGCTCCATGTGTGACAAATCAGACTTGAAAAGGAAGGAAAGAGAGGGATGAAAATGTAACTTCTGAGGCACTGAATAATCTCATTAGTCATTGTCCCCAGACTGTCTTCTTTCATTGTGACTGGTGATTACTCTGGATTTCTCTATTGCTTCATAGAAATTGCTTGACCGAGTTTACTTTACAACTTTCCTCGACAACAATTAAAAACCAAAACCCTGTTAATACTACCAAACTGGAACTCAATTAAAACATACCTCCAATCCTTTAGAGTCTGCTTAAGACTATTAGCCATTTGCCTTAAACATATCACATAGCTGCCCTCTTTCTTATCATTCTATAAAGTTATAATAAACAACAACAAAGTCAATTTACCAAAGTACAACTGTGTGGGGCTTTTTACAAGTCCAATATGCCCTCTAGCAATGTTAATTATATATTTTATCTTATTCTAATCGGATTAATAAAAAATCTATAAAGAGTTTCAGACACAAATGATATATAAATACTCCTGTATCTGTGGTATCAAAGCACACTTAAACAGCTAGTTGAGTTAGGATAGAAAAAAAAAAGTTCCTGGAGAGTATATTGTTCTGCAGAGGGAAAATTGTAGCAGTGGAGTTCAAATTATATTTGAAAGCAAGGGAAAGATTGCAGCCATAGGGCAAAACCGTCTGAAGTGTTTTTGTTTGCTTGTTTAGGTTGCTTTTTCCAACTTTCATCAGAGTTTTACAGAGCACAGAAGGAAATGCTTTATGTTTCCTGTATCTACAGGGGTGTGCTGTGCTGCTGTCTGTAAACACTGTAATTTAACTTCACAATTTCCTGTTTGGTTGTGGTTTAACAACAAAACACAAAGTTGAACTAAAAATAATTACATATATTTCGAAAAAAGTGGCATTTAGATGTTTTTAGCTATATTCCGGAGGAGACTAAGCAAACAAATCTACAAAACATAGTTTCAAAAAGTCAAGTGTAAACAGTATAACCAATTAAGTTGCGATATAAGGGAGTATTCCATTCTAATGATCCCATATCACAATGATAATTATTTGTTAGAAGAAGAAATCTGTTGATAAGCCTAAGTTGGGCAAAACTTTACGATATCTTCAATCCTTCTCAGCTAAGGGTCAAACCGTACCACCAAACACCAGGGTTTAAAGGTTCATAGCTCACCATATTGTTCCTTCACTGTACGGCCCATTGCCCTGATGTAAAGAAATTTGCCCTTGTTTGCACCTGTACAATATGCAAACTTCAGGTAAAAGTCTTCTCAAGGGTGGTGGCTGCTGCGACTGCAGTGGATTCACATAGAATCCTTATACAAACCCAACGGTGAAGGGCGGTGAAGCAGCCAGCGGTGAACTCCACGCCCTGAGGGGGTTCACTAATTTCTGCCCTCAGCTAGTGCTACGAGATAAAGCTGAGTTGTTGTCAAACAGCAGCACTGAAAACTATACTTTTATGATAAATCGCGCAACAGAAACCAACCAGGGACGGATTGTAGATGAAGCTTTTTTTCACTTAAATTGGATTACAGGGAAAATTATGTTAAAAAAGGCTGACATAAGAAATGGCCTCAAGAGGTCTTTACTTGGCTTAAAAAAAATGCCATATTAATTTTGTCCTAGAAACACTGCTGGTTGTCTGCCCTTACGTCCAGCACAGGCCCTGGTGTGCAACTGCATACTGCCCAGCATCAGTGTTTTCTGCGTGGGTAGATTTACAAGGAAGTCACGCCGAATAAGATCTACATTTGGATGAACCAAAGTGGACTTTTTTTGAAGAAGAAGAAGAGTGACCACTGTCGGTATTAATGATATTCAGGTCGGATGGATGCAACCTGGCTGTTCACAAACAGGTCGCATTTGAAAAGATCAGATTCGTATCGGATTCAGGACCACATAGACAAGCAGACTGGGTCACATTGGAAAATACTGGATCTGTGTTGTTCAGACTGTCATGAAAAGATCAGATCCAGCTCGCATATGGGAAAAAAGATCGAATTTGAATCACTTCATGCTGCGGTGTGAACATAGCCATAGTGTCATTATAATTAAACTGCACATTTTACATTTATTATCAACTTGATGGCACAATACAGCAAATGAGACACCCTGAAGCTTTGGCTTATGAGCAAACCAATTTAATGGAACGCTTCAGTGCTTTATGAAGCTTCATTTTACCTTCACTATTTAAAAGGGGTCAATAAAGGCAAGAATACTTAGGGACAAAGGCTGGACCAGTGCCTTGTTGAAACAGACAAACACCCATGGAGGAAAATTAATAGACTGGCTAAATACACACAGGAGGAGGGGATGATTGTGAACAGGTGTGTTCAATCAGGCTGACAGGGAAGTGCATGCAGCAGAGGTTGACCAATTAAAACTGCCATATCTCACTATGTGGTCCAAACCGTGATGTAACATTTCTGTATTCATGTTCATTTTATTGTTCTTGTCATTAACAACAACAAAATAATAATGATATTTATTAGTATGTTGATGCATTTACAGGTTCATTAAGAAAGAATGGTAAAAAAAAAAAAGAAACTTCAGAGCAGCTAAACAGCAGTAAGTAGGTAGGAAAGGTAAGAATCATAACCTGTAAGCAATACTGGAAAGTAATATTGATCGAGATTACTTCTTTCAGACACTATGTTCTGCTGTAAAAGTCAAGTTACAAACCCTGCTCCTCTAATGGTATCCTGCTGTTTTCTCAACAAGCATCAACGAAGGAAAACTAAACCCAATTGTTCACACTCCCTCTGACAACAGATACATATTGTATCTGCATGGTGCACATTGTGTTCTCCTACACTTCTTCTAAGACAGAAAAAAAAACCACAAGACCTTTTTTTCTTTTTTTGCTTCTCTTTCTACCTGACTCATGACAATTAAACTGACAGCTATTGGCTCAGAAAGTGAAGCCTAAAGAGATTTCCCAGCAAAAGCATAATCAGCAAAAATCACTGCCATTCAATTTCAGTAAGATATTCATTATGGTTTAAATGAGCGTTCTGTTCCAACTGGGCTCTTTGAATGTGCATAAAAAAAGCAATTTTAGGTCAAAGAATTTATATCCATCTGATAATGTGAGGAAAAAGCTATTCAAAGAACTCTGATTATCATAAACAACCATGATGGTTCAGGGTATTTCTTTATTGCTTCAGACTATACGTCAGTGTCGGTCCTAAAGCTGACGCCTACAGGCAAGCACTAACTTGGCAGCAGTGAAATCATCAACACCAGACATTGTTAAAACAACCCTGAAAAAAAAGGCATTCTGAGCAACGTTTTTCCAGTCTGTCATAGAAATGCAGTGCTTTAAAAAGAAATGTAAATCTTAGAAAAAGATACTGTACTATTAATCTGTACAAAAGATAAATGTACTTTTAATACTGAAACGCTTTTGGACCACTTTGACAAAATAACCCAAAGAATGAGCAAAAAAAAAAGAAAAAAGACAGCAAATCTCACTGGTATCAATTAAAGTCATGATTTGTGACTCAATAGTACAATCCTAGTTGTGATAGCATGATGGTCGTGGGCTGTTCTCAGTCGCTTCAGGACCTTGACAATTCGTCAGAATTGATAGAATTCGGTTTTGATTAAAAACCTAGTAGACTTGAGTCTACAGCCATAAAAAATTACTCATTGGATTAAATTAATTTAATTGATGAAAGTTTTTCCATCCAATACATTTTTGCTAGCTGAACAAAATCAACATATATCTGTATGGTGTCTGTGATGGTCGCATGTGCAACCACACAACAAATGGTCTTGTAATTCTTTCATTTAATAAATCTTATATTTTACTGTACTGTATTTCATTTTTTTTTACTTTGGCAATGGTTAACTATTTGGGTGCACACATTAAGTTGATTCATTTTGTCATTTCTTGCTTGTTTGGTTTTCTGTACATTAATATATTTTTCATTAGAGTTGCCAGTTCCTGGGAGGCTGTCATGAGTGAAGCCAGTAAAGGAAAGGAGGCCCCAGCTGCAAAGGATCTCCTCATTGACATGGAGGCCTAGTTGGACTAGGCCTAGTTTGGTTTTGTATTCTATAATCATATTTTGGAAGTTTAATATTCAAGTCCTCTTCCTCATAGGTTGCTGATTAGTTTCGTCTTTTGTTGCAGTTTTGTTTAGGCAAATGCATTTTATGGTTCCCTCTTGTTTCAAAATGGTCTGATCAACGAGTGTTTATATATGTTTCCCTTGTGTGTCAGTAAGGTAGGTCTTTTCCTGTGTCAGCTTTGGATTATGCTGATGTTTGTCATTTGTTTTCCAGGATGGGCCCAGTCTTGTTACAATTTTGAACTTTATTTTTTGCCAAATAAATGTGTTACCCTTTTGTCATCAATGACTTCCCTGTGCTTCTCTGATTTTTTGGCCCTTCCCCTCACAGTGTCATTTCATTGAGTCTGTTTAACACAATTTTCTAAAATAGTTTTAAAATGAGATGATTACATACACCAAATGTGAATATGTTTGGTTGGTTTAACTTTATTAAATGTAATTCTGTTGACCTATATTGTTCCCTGCATTGAATTAAATTATGTTCATCTAACTTATAACATTTCAATAACCCAATGAGGAATGAATTGGTTTGATCAACTAAATTGTATTTACTTTAAGAGCAGAAACAGTTTTTAATTAACAAACATGCATGCATGTCACATGGTCAAAATAACCTTGACAAATACAGAGCTGTGATTATGGATCTTGACCTCAAGATAACTTATGGTTGAATATGTGCGCACTTGGGCAACAAATAACTCCACTATATCTTTTAGATGTAGAATTACCTGCCACGCTGGCTCGTTTTCTGACAAAAGTTATCTTAAGTAATCTTAGCAAGGACCAATTTTCATGATCGTTGTTGCAAAGTAAACTAAAATTCCTGAGTTCGCT